TTACCCTAACTGACATAGACCACATGAGCTAATGTGAAATCCGGTGTCATGGAACCCTACACCAAAAGAAGGCGGACTACTTGCCAAGGTAGTACTAAAAAATGAACATAGCAAATACGTGGATCCACTAGCTATTATTCCTATGGGGGAAACATAGTTCAAGAACTAGGAGATATAGTTGGGACCTTCTTTATGATACATGCATTGTAGTATCCTATCTCAAGAGTAAATAAGTGATCCTACATTCCCTATCTGGTACACTCTTCACTCTAGTTTACTCAGTGCTAAGCTACAGTCCCTTTTTGTAACGTCTTCATGTCTTTATTATCAATAATAGCTTAGTTTAGGTCATAGGGTCTAACCCTTGTACATTGATCATCATCATAATTCAATAAGAACTGCATGAGTATTGTCCTTTTGTTACAATTCATATCGGTGAGGTTAGCACATGAACATTCTTATATCATGATAAGACACATTGGTAAATCATTCACCATCCTTATAACATTTACGTCTTAAGAAAACACCTAAAAATCATACTTAAGAAATTTCCATTAACGATCATACTATCCTATCAATACTAATATAAGGAATACTTCCAATACAACATCATAACTTAATCACAATTAACTACAACATGAAGTAAAGGATAGGGGTTATAAGACATACCAAGTCTGCTGCATAGTTCATTATCAAGGTGTTACCATAAACCCTCAATTCAACCCAATTTGGGTATACATAATAATAAGTCAATAATTAACATGATAACAAGGCTAGAAGAATCACTAAATAACAATTCATTATTAGATCATAGCATAAGACAAGATATGAGGTCAATTCATAACATACTTCCTTAGCTAGATCATCATCTGAAGAACTAGCATGAAACCCTACAAATGACACTAATTAATTCATGATTAGAGTAACAACATCATATAGTATAAATTCAACACAAAACCAATAAAATTTTGAACTAATAAAACCTAATTCATATCAAGATCATAACCTAGGGTTAAGGGTTAAGGGTCATCTTCTACAAACTAGACCAAACCATCAAGATATATCATAATTAGGTTCGAATACATGTTAATCTATTCATAATATCCAAAATAAATCATAAAGAAATCAATTCATAACATCAATTTCGTGTTGGATGAAAACCCACTTGAAAACTCAACTTTGGAAATCAATTCTGATGGAACCCTTTGATGGTGAAATCGTTCCTTAACCGCCTCCAAAACCCTCCCCTTGCTTGGTCTTCTATGGTGTCTTCCAATAGAGAGAGAAAGAAAAGAGAATGAAGAGACTTTTGTGTGTCAGTTGTGATTAGTCTAATGGGGTTGGCTTCTTCATATGAGGGGCTAATTAAGTTGATTAGACTTACCATAATCTCTAACTAACCTCCAAACCACTAAATTATTTTTTTATGATTTACTTAAAAACGTGCAGCAAAAATAAGCCACTCACCTGCAAGACCCCGTCAACACCTCGGGTCTCCATTAACACACCAGTCCCACTTCTTTGCTACATATCCATCGACGAGTACAGAGAGTGCGCAAAATATCCCCTTCAATGAATTTGCTAAGTGTTGGTCGACGGATGTCATCGATGTCCCATCAATCAACACACAATCCATTGTTTTCCTCCGTAGGTGAACACTGCATAGGCAGTCTTGACCCAAAAATGCAAGGGTCCTCCTCAAGGGCCCTTGGTTGGTCCTTGGATATTCATACACGTTTCCACTATGTATTAACTTACACACATGTTATACACCCTTCCACCAATTTCATCCTTTTCAAACTTATAAAAGCTAGTCAAATAGGCTAAGGCACACTAGTACCTCCTTGAACTACTTTTCGAGTGTCATTGACGTTCTTGGATGTTTTGGTTTATAGACTTCCTAAATGACTTATATTCATTAAAATGGACCTTAAAACAGTGTATAGACCTTATGACATGTATGTTAGGCTCTAGTACACGTCACGAATTTTTGGGGTGTTACATTCTCCCCCCCCCCTTAGGAACATTCATCCCCGAATGACATTAAAGATCTTTAGCAGGAAGGAATATTACAGATGGCTCAATATTACATTAGGAGAAATATCCTTCTCACAACAACAAGAGCTCAGCATAGCATTTACCAATCAATTATGTCAAAGTTCAAATTACCAACATGCCACATATTATTTCATAAATATCACCATATTAAAATACACAACATAACTCAAATCAAGCAAAAGAGAAAAATTTCAAGTCCAGATGCACAATTTCACAGAAATTTATTGTATCAATATCAAAATGCACTTTTTGCAAAACGTCACTAAAAATCAAAGCAACTTAAATTTTAGTAGTTATTTTCATTATTAGTAAGAACTACTAAGCTTAGTTATCAAATATATGAGGCTAACAGGAATTCATGTCAGTCTCGGCCTCCCATGTTGCACCATCAACTAGGTGATTCTTCCATAGCACCTTTACGTAAGCCACCTTTTTATTCCTTAACTTCATGACTTGCCTATCAAGAATTTGAACTGGAACTTCCTCATAAGAGAGGTTATCCTTCATTCAAAGACTTTCAATAGGAAGAAAATACTTTGGATCATCGATACACTTCTTATACATGGAAACATGGAAAACCGAATGTACCAAAGTCAATTCACTAGAATGTTTCAATTCATAGGCAACCTTACCAACACTTTGCAATATTTCATATGGACCTACATAACGAGGACACAACTTCCCTTATAGACAAATCTAACAGCCCCTTTCATTGGCAAAATTTTCAAAGACACTTTATCACCTTCTTAAAACTCCAAATCTCTTCTGTTTTGATCGGCATAAGACATGATCGACATAAAACTTTTGCGGACTATAGGATGTTTGCAACAAGTTCCTTATGATATGAACTTTCTCCAAAGTCTTATAAATAAAATCGGGACCAAGAAGCGAAGGCTCGCCCACTTCAAACCATCCTATAGGAGACCTACTCCTCCTCACACCCAATCTAGAAAACCTATGAACATCTCTAACTAAGTATTTCTTGGATTCATCTATGTGAGATATACTACCCATAGTCATATGACATAGATCATCTACAACCACAATGTCCTTGTCGGGGTGATAGAGAACACTCATGTCGTAATCTTTCAACAATCCTAACCACTTTCTTTGTCGGAGATTCAACTCCTTTTGAGTAAACACATATTAAAGACTCTTATGGTTGGTATATACATCAACATGGATACCATACAAGTAATGCCTCCATATTTTCAAGGCCAATACCGTAGCTGGTAACTCAAGTTCATGAGTTGGATAGATTCTATCTTGCACCTTAAGTTGCCAATGAGCATAGGTTATTACCTTCCCATGTCGCATAATCACACACCCAAAACCCACTCGGGATGTATTAAATACAAAAAAAACCTTTGTACCCTCCAGTAGAGTCAACACCGGAGCGGATGTAAGCCTATGTTTCAAAATTTGGAAGCTTCTCTAACATGCCCCCGACCAGTCAAATTTGTTACACTTTTGGGTCAAAGTAGTCAAGGGAAATGCAATGGACGCAAAACATAGACGAACCTCCAATAATAACCCGCTAAACCCAAGAAACTTCTAATGTCATTTGGAGTCAAATGCCTAGGCCAATTTTTCACCGCCTCCATTTTCCTAGGATCAACCTTAACTCCCTCACTAGTTTTTTTATGACCAAGAAATTCCACCAACCTCAATCAAAACTCACATTTCCTATACTTGGCAAACAATTGATTCTCATTAAGCACTTGCAACACCACTATTAAATGATTCATGTTCTCACCTTCAGTTTACGGATATACCAAGATGTCGTCAATGAAGACAACGACAAATTATTCTACGTAACTTTGAAACATCCTATTCATGAGATCCATAAATGTTGTCGGGCATTCGTGAGATCAAAGGACATAACTAAGGACTCATAAGTACCATATCTATTTTGAAATGCCATCTTTTGTATATCCTCACCTCTCACCCTAAGTTGCTGATACTCAATCTCAAGTCAATTTTAGAAAAGTAGCTTTTCCTTTGGAGTCGATCAAACAAGTCCTCAATCCGAGGAAAGGGATACTTGTTCTTGATTGTGACTTTATTGAGTTGGCGGTAGTCAATGCACATCCTAGGGACCCATCCTTCTTCTTCACAAATAAAACCAGAGCACCCCATTGAGAAATACTAGGTCTAATGATGCCCTTCTCTATTGAATGTTTGAGTTAAGCCTTCAACTCGTTCAATTTGGACGGAGTCATACAATAAAGAGGAATTGAAATGGGATTTGTATCCGGTAACAAGTCAATACAAAAATCAATTTACCGTTCAGAGGAATATCGGGAAGGTCATTAGGAAAGACCTTCAGAAATTCACTCATTATGGGGACCGACATAATGGGAGCAATTTGGAGTCCAAATCTTGTACATTTTTAGTACATGATATAAACACCCTTTGGAGATCATTTTGCATGATTTCAAACAAGAGATGACACGACCTCTGGGAATAGAAATTCTTCCACTTCCACTCTAAAATGGGATCATTTGGAAAGTTAAACTTCACCACCCTCGTTCAACAATCAATAGAGGCAAAGCAAGCATGCAACCAACCCATACCAAAAATGATATCAAAATCAAGCATATCAAGTTCAACTAGTTCAACATAAGAAACTTTTATTGGGCAACATTAGAGGAAAATTTTTATACACCCTTTTTGCAAGAACCGACTCGACTCACCCACCGGGGTAGACATTATAAAAGTTCCATGCAAGGTATTAGGAAAAATATCAAAATTTTTAGCTACTAGAGGGGGAACAAATGATAAAGTAGCATTGGGATCAAGTAAGGTATATACATCAATAGAGAAGGCTTTCAACATACCGGTAACCATGTCGGGAGAAGTCTCTTACTCACTCCTAGAGAGGAGAGAATAGAAGAGGTTCTTCATTGGACTCATTTGAGCCACTTGCTTGATCTTGACCATTACTCTTGTCTTGACCCCCACATTAGGACAATCCCTACTTTGTGACCACTCTTACCACAACCAAAACAATTATCTGTTCCCTCAAGACAAATACCATAATGCTTCTTGCCACACTTTTTGCAAGATGGCTTTTCACTTGGTGAACTAGTACCCTTTCCCTTCTTAGGTTTACGGTTATACCACATATAACCACTAGCCATAAGTAACTTGGAAGGAACTTGATTAGAAACCCGCTTCTTAAATCTAGGATTTTCTTGTGTCTCAAGTCTATTCTTTGAAGAACCACCATCAAGAGATCTTTCCTTCTTAGAATCTCTACTATTCCTCTTAGACCTTGCCTTATCCACATGTTTGAAATGCACTATAGGATGGGAAATGTTCATATTGTCATCTGGATAGCCGAATGACACTCCTCTTCCAAATCACCCGACACCCCTATCACAAACTGGCTCATTTCATCTCTAAGATTGAAAGCAAAAGAAGCAACATACTTTGACAATTTAGTCAATTTCAAAGAGTATCTATGAAAACTTATACCTCCTTGGTGAACGTTGATGAACTCCACTACCTTAGCTTCCCTCTATTACCTAGGAAAGAACTGATCAAGAAAAGCCTTCTTGAACACTTCCTAAGTCACGGGTCCACCTCTTAAAGGCCTATTGTCCCTCCATTGGACATACATGCTTGAGACACATCCTTGAGTTTATAGATGGCTAACTCGAACTTTTCACTAGTAGAAAACCCCATAGCATAGAGGATCTTGTAGATTTCATCAATGAATTTTTGGGGGTCTACTTCAACCTTGGACCCATATAAAGTAGGAAGATTTATCCGAGTGAAATCCCTTAGATTAGAGGCCATGGTAGCAAGTTGATAATTTTCCCTTGGTTCAATCTACCAATAAGCTTGGGCTATCATGGCTTGAGATTGTGTAGTGGCGTCTTGTGCTTGTGTAGTAATAGCTTAGGCCATTTGGAAGAGAGAGGACCTTATGTTCTCATCTGTGAAAGTAGGAGGATTCACCAAGGCTTGGTCATCATTCACATATTCCTCAAGAGTAGGAACATGATCACCATAGGGAGAAGCTCCTGCTTTGTCAATCTCTTCTTCAACTATTCGTGTTGCATTCCTTCGAGTATTCATTAGCTGTAATCACAATAAGAGGATTAGATACAAAAGATCACAATAAGTATACTCTTAAACGACTAGCCACAGTACTAACATGTTGATACTCTCGAGGTGCAACCTCCATGTTAGCTTGAGCCGTGAGGGATTGAGCTTGGTGTTGATGGCTTGGTCCATTAGTAACAGGGCTTCCCTCACCTTAGCATCTGTCATAACCGGAGGATTCACCGTAACTTGATCATTTGCAGCATCTTGCACTTTAGGAGCATTTCGGTTACCTTGGGGAATAGCTCCGATATTCGCAATATCTTTTCCTACTCTTCTCGCGACTGTCCTTCTGTTCATCACCTATATACACAAGAAACAGATTAGATTCTAAAAGACACATAGTGTAAAAGCTCTAAAGGCACGATATAAAAGTATCAAGAAAAGAGAAGTTTCCTAACTATCACATAGCCTCTCACCCATAATTGTGGCGCGCTTCACAACCATGAACAAGATACTAGATAATGTGGTTTACTGAGACGTTGATCCTAAGGATATATTTTAACCTCATGCTCTGAACAAGAAACAAGGCTCTTCTTAGAGTTCATCACAATCATACAGTTAAATTTGTGGAAATTTAAAAACTTTTAATATACTAATGAAGTATACTTAGACTTCATACTTAAGGTTTATAAAAACATACGATATTCTAAAACTATTGTCTCACATATATAGAAACCATTTAAAGAGTGCAAATCTGAACTTAGACAATAATAGTTAATACGCCATATAGGTCTTATTACAAAAGAATCCATAGAACATAATGGAAATAGCGTATTCTTAAAACTACTAAAAATATACGTAAGCTAGAATATGAAAGATAGCATCCCCGAACATGAGGACCTATCAAGACATGGAGAAAGAATTTCAAGATTCTTCAAACCGACCTCCTAAACTTTAATCGTCGGAACCTACACTTGTAGTAAAATAAAGAAATTGGGTTTGTACACCACATATACTAAGTATGAGTATATGCACATAACACATAAGTACATGCATGAAAAAGGTTCATTTATCATATCTTTAGAAAACATGATAAGTCATATAAAAATTGTCAATGCACATACCGTATAACATATACAAGTAAAATATTTCATCACTTAAAGCATGATCATAATCAAAGACATCTTCTCATGGAATCATGTTAACATTAAATATTGCAAAGATCATACAAACATAACATACAAAACACTTACCAACGATCCCATCCCCAACTTACAAGTGCAATGGTCATGTGAAGCCCCATCACTCCACATAATTGAGTAGATAAGATAGGAGACGATAAGTAAGGCTTTACTTCATATAACTTGTAACATAGTCAGTTATCATTAACATAACAATATAGACAAATAACATATTCATCATAATACCCCACATCATATAAAAGTAACATCATATGTTATAACATATATCTTTCATATCATTATATTACTTGGGAACAATCTCCTAGGATTTCCCTTATAGTCAACCTGTGCAATATCTAGGTAGCGTCCCATACTACTACCTATACTAATCCAACTCCTCAAGTCACCCTAGTCAACGTTTGTTTTCTTGTCTTTTGTTTTACATGAGGGAACATAGGCATTAACCGACAAAAAGCATGTGACCTAAACATGGAATCCGGTCTCATGAAACCCCACAATGAAAAAAGGTGGTCTACCGGCCAAAGTAGATTCTACCTGACATATCTTTCAAGGTGGATCCACTAGCTAGTATCCTATGGTGGCAACATAGTTCAAGAAATAGGAGATGTATTAGAGACCCATAGTTCCATATTACATGGAAGCCTCAATCTCATGAGAATCATTGTGAACCTACCTTCCCCTAGGGAAGGGGCACTTCCCATATCTAGTTCATAGCTTCTTAGCATAAGTCCTTTTCTTGAAATAACCTTTAATTTGTTTTCCATAAAAAACTTATAATAGTTCATAGAATTTTATCTCCTTGTAAAACATGATCATGAGCTCTTTTAGATTAGATGAGAATTTTCTTTTCATCGTAACCCCTCATACGTGAGATTTACATGGAATAATCATCTTGTGTAAAGCATTCAACAGAGTATCATAACTTGCATATTCATATTCTTATCATAATCTCACGAGTTACATATTCATAGCAATCATATTCACATAGTAACATCATACATACTTTCATAACATAGCATCAAGACTTAAATAGGCTAATAAAAACATCTTAGAGTAATCACAATTTTAGAAGACTCACCACTTGCTTCCAAGAATCTTATTCATCATGCGACATTCATAATAATACTTAGTGAAATACTCAATAAAATAACCAACAAGAACCCATTAAATCATGTACAATATCAATGCATATTATAGGAGATGCTAAACTGGTAATTAAAGAGTTCATTCAACCCTTAAATTCTAACTGTAACGTTTACATGTTATCATGTCATAGAAACAATCATAGGAAACCATCACATAGGTAATAACATGCTTCAAACTAAATTTCAAGAATAATTATCAACATAAACTCAACACATCATGCGGAATCAGATATAGAAAACATTTATTTTGCAATGAAAGACATAAATCTAGAATTTTGTAGAGTAAAAACCCTAGAATTTAAGTTCTTGAAAACATATCTTGAAAGGAACTATTGGGGAAATGAATTCCAAGAGTTAAAACCCATACCTTATAGACGAATAATCTACAAAATCTTGATTAGAAATTTCAAAAACCTTCGTCTTTTTCATTAAGCTTCAATGGAGTTTAGAAAAAGAGAGTGTTCTTGAGAGATTAAGGGAATTTCATTTGATTCTGATACGGAACATGTAATTGTGGTCTTAAACTAACCTAAAATAATTATATAGACTTCCAAAGACTTACTCTAAATACCCTCCACTTAAAGTACCATAAACATCCCTCCTAATTTGACTAGAACTAGGAGAACATTTGACTTAATCAAATATGAAATTTTTCCTAAGAATTTCGTTTTGACCCTTCAAATTAATTAATTAAATGTATAATTTAATTAATTAGTGTACCTAGGGTAATTATTAAAGTAACCTAAGTCATTGGAACGATAACTTACCCTTTTGTACCATCCTACGTTAAGTACTAGGATGTTTCTTGAGTTATACTAGGTTAGAGAAAGAATTTAGGTCTGACCCCTTTAATTAAATTAATGAAGTTGATAATTTAATTAATTGGGTGTTCTAGGGTAATTAATAACATACCCTCAAGTATTTAGGACCATAATTAACCCTTTGAACCATCATAGGTTAGGTACTAGGTTGTCTTTTTCTTGTCTTAACCGAAATCTGGAAATTGCTTTCTGATTAAGTTTTTGTCCTTTTAAATTGATTAATTAAGCTTCTAAATTAATTAAATAAGTAACCTAAGGTAATTTCTAAATTATCACTAAGTTTTTAGGAACATAACAAACTCTTTGGACAATTCAAGGTTAGGTACTAGGTTATCTTTTGCTTGCCTTAACCAAATCTTGAAATTACTTTGTGATTTCCATTTTTCCATTTAAATTTATTAATTAAGTTACTTAATTAATTAATTAATTAACCTATATTAGTTACTAAAGTATCCCTAAGTTTTTAGGACAATAACAAACTTTTTGCATCATCCTAGGTTAGGTACCAGGTTGTCTCTTAGTTAGTTTCATGTCTTAATGTCACCCGGTTAGGTCTTAGGTTGTCGGATCCCTTAGCTAGTAGATTTCAGTTGTTCCTAGGTTAGTTAGTTATTTAGGGACATTATTTATGACCTAAAATCAGTTAAGGATCGTGGCCCCACGTGGTCCTACAGGCCTGCCCCCTTTCAACCTAAACGATTCTGTTCGGGCTTGTCTCTTGGTCGTTTACCACATGTGCTTGAAAATGTTCTTGCATATGTGTTTCTTGTACTTTTCTAACTAACTATTTTTATGCTTCATATGGAATGATTAATTATTGTTCCAAGGATCCTCATTATGTCCTTGGGTACTACTTAATCTATATGCCTATTTTAAGTGGTCATGTTTTATAGTACCTAGGCTTGACTCCTGAATGCCTCACACATAATGTGTTAAGATTCCATGCTATTAACTTAGGGTCTTCATTGCAGGTACAATTACTAAACAATCTTGTTAATAACTTAGAAAAATTGGCTTACACCCTTTAAGCCAATATTTTCTAATATGCCCAATATTTTCCTTTTTTGGGCATTATATAGAAATTTTCTAAACCCCTTAGCTATTTTTCTATACTATGCTTAATATTTCTCAACATATGGCATTGGAAGGCCTATGTATCCCCAATACCTATTCTGAAAGACCTATTGGGATAATTTTCTCTAGACATGAAATTTTTTGGAATGTTACACCAGCTTCCATGACGTATGAGGTGAATGTAATGGAAATTTATACTGAGCACCGATAGAGTAGCTATGAGAGGTGATTCCTTCTTTCAAGAAGGGAAGAAGTTCACGTAACAGTCGTGAGATGAGACTATCTGGTATGTCGGGTATGGGTCTCCTTATATATCCTAGTCTTCAAACCTATATTGCAAATATAGGGATCAGGCGGGGTTTAATTTCCATGTATGCTAGCATGTTTTGGAACACTTTGGCCGATGATTCCACCTTTTTCCGTGTGGCGGAGACACTAGTTTTTATGATTCTCACATGATCTATGTCGATTAAAGCTAAAGTTCCCAATGAATGAATGAGGATAAC